AAAAAAACTGTAAACATATAGCACAGTTGTTTTGAAAACAGCTATGTAAATCTAACTTCTTGTTGTCCGACAACTTACACACTGGCGGATAATAAAGAGTACATTTGTAAGGCATCGCTGAATGCTATTTCAATAGTGCAACTGTTGTTGAGCTATAATATAAATTTGCACCTTACAATTGAACCAGTAACATTTCACCTTTTTTGGTTTTATCTAATAATGGGGTCCTGTTATTTAACATTATTTTTGATCCTGTTAGCATCCCTGTCCTCCACTACTTTAGGTTAGACGTATTTTTTTTTTTAAAGTAGGGAAACGATAATTACAATTGTGAAAAAACTTTTTTTTTAATATTATTTTAGCAGAATGTCCACCGATTGATGAAATAGATGATGCAGATATATTGTATCTCCAATCAAATTTGCAGACACCATATTCAGATCAAACTATTGCACTTCTTCGTTGTCACATTAATTACCTACCAAAAGGTAGCATTTCCTCTGTCTGCGTTTCAGGAAACTGGACGACAAAATTAGGTTGGTATTTGAATTAGTTAAAACAAAATCGTGCTCTTGTAGAAAGTTTTTTGTTTGAAAAAAAATTAAAATATAAAAAAATTTGGAAAAAATTTTTTTTCCTGAAAACTTTTTGTTGAAAAGAATTGATTTTTCAAATAACTTTAGTTTCCAGGAACATGTGACTCAATTTACGGTTATTCCAATAAAACATGCACAGAAATAACCCTAGGAGGAAAAGGAACAATTACATACTTTCAAGTAACCGTTTCAAATGATTAAAACTAAGAACAGGCTGCAGTCAACCAGCAAATGGAATGATCCTATTACTTGAATACTTTTAGGCCTCCCAAACAACAAAATACAGGTCTGGCACTGCAGCATTTCTAACATGTCCATTTGGCCAGTTTCATACCGGGAACCCTATATCAACCTGTAAAGACGGTGTATGGTCCCCTCAAATGGGTGACTGTTCCACTAGCCTATTCGGGACTGCCTCAAATTTCACTGAAGAAAAATGCCCAACACTCCCAACTGTTCCTAATGGATCAGTGAGTGGTTTTTTGTGCCGCTGGAAACCTCAGTAAATGTATTCGCAGTTTAACTAGCTTTCAGACATTAAACAATCATTTTAACTTTCTTAAGTTCCTCTTCTGATGCTTAAAAACGTTTTGAAAAGAGAAGAGAAAGTTTTTTAGATCACTCCCATGCAAATATCACTGGACAACAGTTTTACTGAGGGAGCATCTGTACGTCTCTATTGTAATCCAGGATACATCCCTACTGGTGAAACAACTGCCACTTGTGAAAAAAACACTGCGAACAATTTAGAATGGAGCGAAATTGGTTCATGTAAAGCAGAAAGCACTACCAATAGTAACGACACATGTCCAAGTATAACAGCCGAAAATGGTAAACTGTAAAATCTTTTAAATAATTTCTTCAATTTGAACATAGGCAAACAAATCCAAAAAATTGATAGCTTTGTTATGTATGGAATAAAATTTACAGGTACCATCAGCTACGATCTTTTTAAACCCAGGCAGGAGAACACGCATGCAACGCTACTTTGTAACTTCGGTCACATTTTACATGGAAACATGATGGCTAAATGCATTGAAAGCAACAATAAAACTCTGATTTGGACTACTCTTGGTTACTGCAGTCCTCAGATATCCCAAGAAATCAAATGTCCCGAAATAACTATTCCGAATGGAATAGTAAGATACGACCCGTTGAGACCACGTGCTCACGGTAAGAGAAATAATTGCTTCTTGAGATTAAATAATAGACTGTTTCAAATGAGCCCAATTATGCTGAAGCATTTAATAAATGAAACATATGGGTTAAAGACAAACACTAAAGACAAAAGAATTTCCTTACTTTATTTATCGCAAGCTCCAAAGAAACTACTGACTTTGCTCATTACAAATAATACCTATCCGGATACATTCATAGAAACACTGCAGCTGGCTGGATCTATTCTAATTAAATTGCAGGAACAGTTGCAACGCTGTTTTGCAACTTCGGTTTCATAATACATGGTTTTTTCACGGCTACGTGTGGTACAGACGATAAGTGGACTCCAAAGATTGGCAGATGCAAAAAACTTTTCTAATTTGCAAGCTATAAAATTACAGTGCAATAAAACATATATAACTAATTAAATGAAACCATTTTTGTAGAACATAAATTTCAAATTTCTGTTCAACAGCAGAAGTTCAAGAATACAAATGGTTAAGAAGTTGATCAGTTGTAAAAAAAAAAAAAAA